ATCATTTTGCTCATCGTAATCTACGCCTAATTCTGTATGTCACATTTCAATTTGGGAACAATTTAATTAACCACTGGCTGCATTAGATCAAAGATAAAAGTTTCCAACTTTTGACCGCTACTATGTGATCATGCCATGGTCACTGTGCCGTCTCACGCGGCATTACCCGCTACAGGATCGCAATCAAGGTGAGGTCGCTAGCGTTCCACGCTATCGTCAATACGTTGAAATGATTCAGGTGCTAGGTGTGTTTAAGACCGTTGTGAGACAATTTGACAACCATTGAGACGACTACGTCGTGATACACATCAAGAAAAGTAACAATGTTTAACAGTCGGTTTTCTTGTAAGGTTGCCAACGACATTGGGTATCCGGTCATGATTAAAGCTTCGGCAGGAGGTGGTGGAAAGGGAATGCGTATAGCTTGGAATGACAAGGAGGCCCGTGAAGGATTCAGGTAACGGGATACGTTCCGATCAGTGTGTCCTGATTCGTTGTAAGTAATGAGAGCGGTTATTTAGGCTTTCCAAGCAAGAGGCGAAGTCTTCATTTGGAGATGATCGTATGCTCGTTGAGAAAGTTTATCGATAATCCTCGGCACATCGAGATGCAGGTGAGGAGTGCTAAATTATTACGAAGTTTTCACATTAATAATTGCTGTAGCAAAATCAAGACGCCTTGGTCTAAAAGTTTTGATGTCAATATACAAATGCATTCTTTCTTTTGACTGCCCTCTGAATCCACTCTTTCGAATGATTTGTGGCAGCACCCAAATGCTGTGGGTTAAGCGGTAAAATCTAATCTCCAGATGTATATCAGTTCCCCTCATAAGGTCAGGCCACTTCTGATTAGTTATCAGGTCGATTCCAAATTACGGGCCATCTCAGTTGCTTTCCGATCCATTTTTTGGATATCGTATGAAAATCCACACAAGAAATTGCAATGGCTGCCAGTGGACGTGAAGCCCCAACCCGTTCCAAAGCGAGGTGCCCACGCCAAAAAGGAGATGATATCATTCTTCTTTTGCTCCACCGGCTGCATATACTACGAGATCCTACCCGAGGGTACTGCGGTGACGGCAAGAGTATTCTGTGAGCAACTGCGAGAGATGGTGTCCCGAGCCCCCAGTTCACACCGACTACAAGGGAAGTTTGTCATTGTGATGGACAATGCTCGACCACACCACGCGAGGACGACGACGGAGGAGCTGGAAAGACTTGGTATCACCTGGCTACCCCACCCTCCATATTCACCTGATCTTAGCCCTTGCGACTACCATGCTTTCAGAAGCCTGCAGGCCTACACCAAAGGGAAAAAATTCAACAACCGTCAGGAGGTCAAGCATGCAGTAGATGAATGGATCGCGTCACGCCCCTCTTCCTTCTGGAAGAAGGGCATCAGTGCTCTGCCCAGTCGATGGAGGGACGTCGTGGCTAAAGAGGGCCACTATCTTGATTATTGATCTCACGTTTTTGTTGTAGTAATTTTGTGTTGAATAAACCGACTGAATTTTTCAAAACTTTGGGACACCCTAATACGATAAGGTTCCCCATTGGAATTTAATTTTAGGGATAGTCAGTGATGCACGAAAAAAGCTTATGAACCCGAGAATTGGGACCTCTTCCTTGCCCGTGGGTTTTCACATTGACACGGTTCGCATCGCTGCGCACTCTTCAACGCTAATTCTGCTAAACGGCAGAGGCTCAGACAGCGAGAGGGTGCGCACCGCGCCGATAGTGCGCCAATAGCGCTGCGAGGAAGGCCATGCTAGATCTGCAGGCATATCCTTCGATGCGAATTGCGCATCGGTCCGCACCCTCAGGAGGTGCGCCTCTCCCCACCAGGTGTGTTTCCCCTTCTTCGACCTTACCCTTATCGTGGAATACTCCAAAATAATGGCTGAACTTTATTTTTCGTGAGCAGCCTGAAAATCCAAGAAGGTATCAAAATTTTTCCTTCTAGAACCGCATTTTTTTGCAGTTCTACATGGAATAGTTGTGTATTAAGAGCTGCTTGTTCAATGTGAGGTCTCATGCATATATGAGCACAAGGTAATTAGAATGAGTGGAGTGGGTAATGTTGCGGAATTCGACACAAGCCATAATTTCTCTCCTTTTCACATCTGAGGCTTCTTAGAAAATAAACTTGATTTTCCATGTTTTGTGAACGTGCCTCCATAACATGCGCAAAACCGTTTGAACGGCCTGAATCATTCCTGGGACAAGGGTGTCAGATTGGCGAATCCTGCGAATCGCGGGGTGCTAGTGATGCGTCAGCGGTTCGAACGATGTACCAGCGTTTTAAACAATGTCAGCGTGCGCATGAGAAGGACCTTTTTTGTTTTTATATCGTCGAGTCGCCGGTACATCGTTCGAGCCGCTGACGCTTGTATCGCTAAAGTTTCGCTGGATTTGCAAAGTCTGACACGGTCATGAATAGGCGGTGTCTACATTAGAATTTTAAAACTCTGTTCCAACCGGAGAAGTCTTCCAACTCGCCAAAGAGAATCGGATGAAGAGCCCGGGTATGTCGATAGGGTTGAGAGTACTGGTCACAAATATGCAGACCAAACCAAGTGAACTTTTCAGTGATGT